GAAGCAGTCGCATATGGTGCTGCTATTCAGGCAGCAATCCTCAGTGGAGACAAAAGTTCTGCAATACAGGATGTGCTTCTAGTGGATGTCGCACCTCTTTCTTTGGGTATTGAAACCGCAGGAGGAGTGATGAGTGTTATAATAGAAAGAAACAGCAGAATTCCCTGTAAGCAAATGCAAACCTTCACCACTTACTCGGACAACCAGACAGCAGTAACGATCCAAGTGTATGAAGGGGAAAGAGCGATGACCAAGGACAACAACCTGTTGGGAACATTCGATCTGACGGGTATCCCTCCAGCGCCCAGAGGCATTCCAAAGATTGATGTGACGTTTGACATTGACGCAAATGGAATCATGAATGTTTCGGCTAAAGACAATAGTTCTGGGCGATCCAAAAATATTGTGATTAAAAACGACAAAGGGCGGTTGTCAACAGACGAAATTGACAGGATGTTAAATGAAGCTGAACGTTACAAAAATGATGATAATAAACAAAGAGAAAGGGTCGGTTTGAGAAATCGCTTGGAAGGCTACGCGTTTAGCATAAAACAAGCGTTGGAAGATGACGGAGGAAAGCTAAGTGGAAGTGATAAGAGGAGGGCATTGGATGCTTGTCAAGACACGATTGTTTGGCTGGAGCACAACATGATGGCCGACAAAGAAGAGTACGAGGACAAGTACCAGGAACTGATGAGGATTTGTTCTCCCGTGATGACAAAATTACATGGAGGCAGCAGCACCAGTAGACGTAACAGTGAGCCGATCGTAGAAGAAGCAGATTAAGCGAAACAACAGTAAAGTTTGATTATGTCAGTAGTATTCAATTTATTTTATATGGATAAAACAGTCATATTGTCCCTATACTATTCAGTTTAGCTAACCTCTTTGGTAAAACTTTGGATTCTAAAAAGCACAAAACTATTAAGAACACAGTCTCTTTTAAGAATTCTGTAAAAACAATAAATTCCTAGTTTAATACACATTTTCTTAAAAACAAAAACACACATACCGGTAAGATCTTTAATTTTTTTTGTTGTACACCTATTGCAATTATAAATGAATAAAATGTATGTTTATACTTCTTGTTTTTACTGATCAACCAGAAAAGTTAAAACATCTCTTTATATTAATACGTGAGGGCTGTTTTTTGTGAACAAAACTCCTCCGTTATTTATGGACCGATTTTAATGTTTCAGGTGTAAAATAATTCGTCTCAATTGTAGGTTTTCGAATTCAAAAACTCTTACCCTTAAGGGCACGAGACGCTCTCAAAGCTCGCATTTTCCCCATAAGAATTGCATGGAAAACAAATTTTTAAACAAATAAAACAGAGCTGTATATAAAAAGAAACTCACCAGCTTTTTGGGAGTAAAATATTGATGTTTGTAATATTTAGGAGGTTATAGACAAATCTAAACAGTGAATCAGTTTCGTTGGAAGAACGGACAATTTCTTGAGTTTAAAGGAGAAATATTGAAAACAGGAGGAGGAGACAACAGGAAATCTTATACGTATGAGAAGAGTAGAGGAGACACCTGGTCTCACAGTAAAGGAATCCAGGTAGGCTACTCAATCACTTGGGGAGATGAATCATTTTTGCCAGTTATGCTAAGCAACTTATTTTGGAAGTAATAAAAACTATGAAGACAATTATTTATTACTTATTTATCTTCGGATGTGATTTATTACACATCATGTTGTCACAGTGGTAAAGTAAACCTACCTAAAGACAGATCAAATAAATACGTGCAAGAAATGTTATTGGTAACAGCTTTAAGCCGGGAAACATTTGTAAAAAACACTAAAAAATAAGGTTGGGTCCAAAAAATTCTAAAATATTTTTATAAGGAGCCTTTATTATTTCAAAGCGCTATTAAATAGCGTGAGTATTTCAATTAGTTACATAAGCATTTAGTCGGGTCTTTTAAACTCATCAAAAATTATGACTGTTATTACTGTAGTTTTAAAATAGCTTCTGTATAATACCGGTACTTGACAATTGCTCGATTTCGAGCAACAGGTACACTAGTTTATCAGTTAAACACCGTTGATTTTTAAACTTTAATGGTAGTTATTATAGTTCATTAGTAATCTTTTTTTCAATTTCTTAGCGTTAGGTTAAAACACTCTACTTGACACTAAGAGGAGACTCGATAGTTTTTACATTTTCTATTATTGGCAATCCAAGGACTTTTGCATTGCTTGGTTTTATAGTTTATTTTCAATATGCCTACTCATATTTTTAAAGATTGTAAGGAAACATAGTAAATTTCTAGATGTACTAGAAGTCTATTGATTTAATATCAAACAACTGGTTTAAATTTTATCAATATATTTTTCCTTTTAATCTAAATTAAATTTATTCATTCACTAACAACTGTGAGAAGCAAAGGGTTACTGTAACTTTGAAAATCATATATGTATAATAATTCCACAATGGTGCCGTCCTTAGAGTGGAGCGGCTGCACCAAGGCCTCGCCGTGCAGTGCCCTGCTACTCTGTTAAAAAATAAATAAAAGTTTTAGTAGAACTAACAAAAAGCTTACAAAGGATATTTATCATTCATTCGAGATAATAGCAACTAAGTATAAATACAAATGTAAAATATTGTTTGATAGCGGCAGCGTTCGACGGAACCCCTCACACACACCAGTGAGTCAGTCATACTTGTGATTGGGCCACCACCACACACTAGATTATTTTATTTTGTATTAGGCCTAACTTATAATAACTTCAAGAATAAACTCCATTGTTATTTTTCTAGATTCTTTTTTTAATCTTCAGTTTTTTTACACCAACCAACAAGAAAATAACTCAAAATTATACCTATTTGAATCGGGACCTCTTCAACGCCCTTTACCATGGAGTGAGAGATTAAAAAAGTTTTCGTTGTCAAAGTGCTTAAAAAAAGAACTGCATAGGGGCTTTCCTGAATCCCTCCTCTTCCAGGAGATATTATATAACTTCCAGACTCATCCCTGATAATTATCTAAGATGATCAATTATCTAAGATGGGGATGCCACTATGTGCGTATTTTAACCCAAATATGAGTGAAGGATGAGTGTGGGATGCGTGGCGGGATCTTGAAGTCTTGTTAAAGACTAAGGTTGACATGTTCCTTAGACACATTTCAAAAGTGTTTCCCTCCATGCCTTTCATTTCCTGAACAACACCAACTACAGCCTATGCCAGAAGAACAGTAAAGTGTATGTATTGACAAAATCTATTGTAACACATGTTATTTAATGGTAATTAAAGATTTGATTTGATATAAGTCTGCCACCTTAACTCAGAAGAATGATAGGTGCTTTAGCATTAGTTCTACTGGGCCGCTTTCCCCAAATCACGCTTAACTTGAGCTAGTTTAAAATTAAGCTTGAGCTTAAGCCTTTGTTCGTTTTCTCCATGCCCACAGGTAAAAGGTTTAGTTTAAGCGTCCATTTGTTTTGGTTGGCTGCCCTGTTTGTGTTTTTTCTTGTGGATTGCTTTAGATCAACTGTCAAAAGTTATGTTTATGTTGTATTAAATAAATATTGGATGAGAGGTTAGGATACAAATATAGTGTTATAACTGCTGCTGAGGTTTCATTACATTATTAAGGTTCAATTTAATATTTCATAAGTAATTCATCTATATAATTATGATAGTGGCGTCCCGATCTTAAATAATTGATAATCTTGGTTAGGTATCCTTTTTTATTTAGTTTAGTAGAAGAATCTGAAGTGATGGAAGAATCTAGGGAGGCAATGCCGTTCAGATTACTCACATTATTAGATTAGTGGTCAGCACATTGTGTATCTGTGGGAACAATTATTTGGCTTTGTAATTTCTGTTACGGTAATGTTACGTTTTGTTGTTCAAAGAATTGTCAGCCTTCAGCAAACAAATTCTTTCAAAAACGGGTGGTAATGTTAGCGTGTCACCGTCCCTAAATTAAGTGTAGTTTAGTTGTTTTTTTGCTTTTTGTATTTAAGATAAGCTGTAACAATTTCCTTAGTTCTTTTTGGCCTTTTAGGCTTATCTAACGGCGAATCACGTGATTTCAATGCAAGTATACGAACAAAGAGACGCGTCGCAGTTACTTGATCCTGCATTGGAATAGAGAGGGGCACACGGGCATTGTCATCTAGGTATTAATCGCACTTCACCCATCATACTGTTTACATCATTTCTCAAAGTCAATATCTACACACACATTGTTATCTATTCGAATAAACCTTAATCTCAAGTTTTCAGCATCAAAACTATTATTTTATTTTTATCTTCCCGTCCTCATTAAGACATACTCTCCCTTTTTAGAGTAGTGGTGGTAGCGATACCACCCGGTATCGTGACCGGTACAATTAAGGAATGTTCCTGATGCAAAAAAAAAATCTATTTAACAAGATCCAATTTTGAGGTTATATTATTGGAAACAGACTACTCATCGACCTCTTTCAACAGCTTTTCTTCTTCTTCTCTGCTGAGCTTAAATAAAGCCTTGTGTTAAACCTACTGTAATGGTGGCTTAAAATGTTCTTCAGCTTAAGCCTCATTCGGAGAGTGGGGAAAGTCAATATTGAGCTTAAGCTGCTACTTAAGCTAAACATCTAGCTTAAGCGGCGTTGGGGAAAGCGGCCCTGACAGTCTTCAGGTGGTTTGCTATAAGACGCCAAATCAGTAACAAAACATTCTGATTTGTCTCTTTGACCATAAGACAGGGATGACGGGTTTGAATTCTGATTCAATCAGTAAGTGAGTTCTCATGTCTGAGGGAGATGTACATCTGAAATAAACCAAGCCCGTAGATGGACATTGTCAGAATGGATAAACTTTTATTAAATTTTATTTAACTTTTTTTATGAACTGCAATTAAATGATCACTTGCGACATTCCTACAAATTGTGAGACCCTTAATTCCTACATTGGGCTTAGTTGGCTGAATAGTTAAAGGTCAGTGCACCTGACATAATAAAAAACATTAATGACCAAACAGGAAATTCAATAATCATAACTAAAAAAAGATTATATATTTCATGTAAAGAGATTGTAACCTTACATTAACTAACAATACAAAACTTAATCTAAAGTTAATCGGCCATTCCATTATTACATTTTTCCATCACCCTAAAATTTAACATTATTTTAAATTCATGCAGTCAACATTTTAAACATTCACTGTACAAAAGTGATTTAATTTTGGTACCAGGGTAAATATTACACAGTTGTGATTATTTTATGTTGAAAAAGTAATTGTTTAGGAATAATATGTATATTGTGTGATAACAGTTTATCGTTGTCAAACCAACATTTTCATAAAATGTACTATAATCCAAAGTACCCACATTACATATTGCAATTTAACCAGTTAATTAAATTTTATTTTGTTCTTAAATGTTAAAAGCGAGGTTTACACAATTGGATGACTATAAGCAAAACTACATTATAGATCCTGTAACTTTGTTGCAGAACTTAAAAAAGTACATCTGCCTCTTCACTCATTTGGGTGAAACTTAACAGTTACACGATTTATATTGATAAACTGTTTGAAACAACTATTTTCTAACGGCAAAATATTTAATTTCTATTTCAAATCCAATAATGTTGATTATCTGACAAAGAGTTACAAAATAAGAATACATTAACAAAATAATAATGTGAAGGACTTACAAACTAAATAACAATAGCTTTGGTTGTTTAGACAAAAAAGTTCATTATACTAGTTAAGAAACAACTTGAATAATTCCATACCAAAGTTCTTTGGAAAACAAATACTGTCATGCGATTTAATCACTTAAAAAATTACACATCATAGTAATTATATTATGATTTTAATTTTAAAAATTAATATGATATTCCAAGTACTATTTTTTGTCATACTGCACTGAAAACAGCTGTTTTTGGTACATGCATTTCGGCTACATGCTCACTTGTTGACTGTAAGCAATCCGTTGTATCAAAAGTATTGTTTGTTTACAAGTGGATTAAAATTTGTTTACATTGAATCTAAAAAAGGAACCAGTTTGGACTGAAAGCCCAAGATATTTTAAATGGTATATTACATTACTAGTCTAGAAAATAGGTGTTTACCGGACGAGTGTAGTCGTTCCTGTGCGAGACAAAGTCGAGTGCGGTATTATTTAACGGGTCCTTGGGACGAGTGATGTACGATATTTTACAACCATATTACTCTTAAACTAACTTAACACTAACAAATCTGTACTAATCCTTATATATTCCCACCGACTAAAGGACTAACAATCACTACTCAAAACCTCTAAGAGAGATTATGTTTTTGTTTATAACCACACATTGCCAAATATAATCAGCTGGTTGGTGTCCTGTAAAACTCATTACAGTACAGTAGTACAATGGTAGTACGTAATGAAACCACATTTGATAAAGCTGGCGGAAAACAGCTGTTTTCTGGACTAAATCCTTGCGTGGGAAGTTCATTAAAACTGTGTAGTGTGGCGTAAAAGTTATTTTGGGAGCTTCACAAGTATTTTTTGTTTTGTAACTTATTTTGGTCAAATAATAGTGCAGTATGACAAAGAATATCGTTCATCACAAGGGAAAAAAGTGCCTTTGCAACCCTCGCTCATTTTCCAACCTCAGCTTCGCCTCTATTGTTAAAATTGAGCTTGTGTCGAAAAGTGTCACTCTACCCTAGTTATGAAATTTAATATATCTACTATTATCTTATGTGTTACTTATAAATGTTCTATAATTTAGTTTATCTTTACTCAATCACAATCAAAAGCAAAGATTAATTAAATTCTTAACCTACATTTTAAAAATATATCAGCACACAATATGATAAACACAGTTTAGGTTCATTTAAGTTACATAACAAAAACACACAAAAGGCACAGTCAAATTTTTAACTTAAAAATCATTTGGATGTATATGTAAAGAGTTTGCTTTTAAAAATGTTTACGTAGAAAATAAAACAATCTGGTAGTCTAAAGTAAGATACAACCCCAATAAATAACATAGAGATAAATATATATTGAAAAAAAAACTATAATAAACAAGATAATTAACAATAATTAAATTTGCGAACTAAACATTTCAATCTATAAATTAACAAAGAAGTCAGTACCTAAATTTAAGTAGACCATATATTTTCTTCGAGGAAGATTAATATAATTTGAAATACTTTTGCTAATCCTGTTTTGACTAATGTACGTATACATTCCATGGTATTTCTAAACTTTATTGTCGATTATTATAATGCTAAATAGTAAATACTATGTTCAACTTTTCATAAAACGGGATTGATAACTATTATCCTATCATTACAGTTAAAAAACTTGTTGGTCAAATTAAGGATTCCTAGACTAACAAGGTTGATTTTACAATGAGCGGTTTTGAAAATTTGCAGCACAGCCTATTTTTAAAAGACGGGTCAATTTTATAAACCAGTTCTCAATTCCATTGATTCTTGAACAACCTCAAGATAAGTATTCAGTGCATCTCTCAATAGTTGATCACGGGATTGTTAAGTAAGTTGATAGTTTGATGGTGGTCCCAGGGTTGTGTCATGCTGATGGTTTATTTTTTATGTTGTAAATTAGCTTTTAATATTCTGTAATTATAACCTGACTATAATATAGTAAACATTTTATGTTTGATTAACAGTGGCATTCTCTCTTACTAGGCAGCCATATGGATAATTAAGATTAATAAATTTAAAAATCAGCCTATCATTTTACAATGTTGTCAAAACATTTTCTCAATTCTGCTGGTTAGGGCTAAGTTTTTATAAACTTTTGTACTGTAAAAATATTGATAATACATCAGAGTATTTCAAGCATTACAAACACGATTCAATAATACATGTTGATGAATTAGTGATTATTATAAGAAAACCACTTAACTAATTATAAACTGATGAAAGGAGTTTTACATAATGTATGAGATGTGTCTAATCAGAAATATGGTTTAGTGTAAAAAAACTATTTTAAAGATTACAGCCATAATGATTCTACAAAAGTAAAAAACAAGGCAATAGTGGGGAAACCACCGACCGGTGTGTGTTATACTGGTACTCTATCATAGCTCCTGCGGTAGTCCGTAACTGCCTTGAGATAGAAAGTTCCGGGGAACAGTGCGTCTACAGAGCCGGTAGGAGTCATTGTAGACTTGTGAGCGTTCTGTTCCCGCAGAGCCAACGTGTCCGAAAAGTCCTTAGGGGACATGACCCGTCTATTGTCCAGCATTGTTTTGATGTGGCTCAAATTATCTAAGACATTTTTCAAACCTTCGCTGCGAATCTTTAACGAATACATGGATGAAGCGAGCCCTGATCCGTATGAAAACAGTCCAATCCTTTTTCCCACCAATTCTGCTGGAGGTTTGTTAATGAGGTAGGATACGAGACCTCCATACACCGAAGGTGTGTACATGTTTCCCACTTGACTAGCCACATACAACGACGGCTTTGTCTTTTCTGCAAACATCTGCTTACTAAATTCCATGAACCCTTTTTCGACTTCACGGTCAAAATAGGTGTCTTCCAATTGGACCCCAGTGTATTTCTCCAATCCAGGGTAAAGATCGGGTATATTCTCTTTTGGAGTGTTGACAAAATCGTTGAGCACCAATCGAGCGAGAGATTTTTGGACCAGTTTGCAATAAGGAGTGTGAAACAACATCGCGTCAAGGGCCTTGACTCCCACAGAGTCGTTTGATTCAGACTCTATCCCAGCGAGTTTCTTAGCTTTCCGACAGTAGAGCTGGTAGCAGTGGTCTAAAGCGGTGAGGTAGCATTGTATGGAGAGTTTCCCATCAACAGTAGGGTATTCAGAGGCAAGGTCTGGCTTGAAGAAGTCATAAACATGGTCCATGAACGTCGCTCGGAGACCGGGTTCGAAGGCGAGGCTAGCATTGGGCCCCACAAGCATTGCCACGGCTCCTGCACCACCAGTGGGCCGAGCGTTACCCGCTGCGTAGACTGCAATGTCTGCCGCAACAACAACAGCCAGTCTTCCGTCCCAGCTGCGAGACTCAACCCAGGCTACAGCATTGAACAGAGCAGCTGTCCCTCCGTAGCAGGCATTTGTAGTATCAATACCTGCAAATACATAAATGAAATTGGAAATTGAAATATATATACTATTTTTTAAATTCAAACTGAGAGAAATAGTTTCAATTTAAATTAAGGTGTTACTCCTTGTAAATGCTGCATCAGCACAGTATTGTCGCTCTTAGCTCTTAAACTAATAATTCAACAGTTCATAATTATAACTGACTTTCAATGTTGTTGTTGCTACTTTCTCTAAACAGCTACATCAGCACAGTATTGACAGGACACTCTTAGGGTAAAAACATGCATACTGTGATTGAGAGTGGTGCGATTTAAAGCGACAATATTAAACCCATACAAGCAGTAACATACACACAAACCGCTGTTGTGAGTACAGTAGACTCCCTCTTATCTGGACTCCTCGGGGTCGAGGCCAGTCCGGATAACGGTTTTTCCGGTTAAACCGACGTCCCCAAAAACTCGTTAAAACGGACTGTTAAAAGCATACAGAATTTTGTTGGGTTTGGGGAATTACAGCATTTGACTTAAATTTAGGAGAGCATTGTATTTAGACACTTGATCACTGGTCTCAAATCTCTCCCACGAGAACAGCCGTTTCAGTACCGCCCACTTCTTACTGCTTTATTTCGGTTAAACCGATGTGATGATAAAAATTGTCCGGTTCAAGAGATGTCATTTCCGCCGAGTGTAGTCCAGTTAAAAGGTGTCCGGATAAGAGGGAGTCTACTGTATACTGTAGTGCCGCGGTTAACTTTGGAACAACCTTGTTTGTTTTTTCGAGCGGGTCAGGCATCAACCTTGTCGTAAGTCAGTCTGCTCTAGTCACTGTGCAAAGGTAGAGTGTAGTGTTGTCAATTATTTTACCCCGTTTACGTTTTTTCAAGTTACTATCTTGGAATAGAGCGAACTCCCGTTCGTGTCGCTGAATGTGTGCGACGTCAGTTGCTCCATTATAGCTTGCCCTGGATCCCCCCAACCACTCCGCTTTCAATCACTGTATGAGTGTTTCCCCCCTTATACTCGTCTATGATTAACAATTCTCAAGTGACTCACCTTCGACGTCATAGTTGCCACTCTCCCTAAACAGCTGCATGAGCACAGTTTTCACACTCTTAGATTTATCTATGATTGTCTCGGTGCCGACCTCTAGACGGCCGATGTCTCTGTAGCTCAGGTTATTCTTCTCCACTAGCTGAGCGACTGCCGTCAGACAAAGAGAGTTGATATCCTCTCTGTCAGTACAAAATCCCATCCTCGTCTGTCCCAGGCCTACTGTGTACTTGCCAGCGGAAACTCCATCAAACACCTGCAAGCACGGTTTTTAAAAGTTTTCATAATTATGTACAGCAAGATGGTATTTTTCAAACCAGAGGGTGCAAATGTTTGATTGCTGTAGGAGTGGTGGATTAGAAAAAGCAACAAAATCTACAATGAAAGTGCAAAAAAAAACATTTTAGTTCTGTAAATATCTAGTGAAATCAGTTTAGTTTATTTTCTCATATTGCAGAGCTCCATACAATCTCAAAATAATACATCATTTTTTATATTTTAAAATGTGTCTGTCTTTAGTTATTATGTTTATAGAACTATTTTACGTGCCTAAAGTAACCTTGAGACATTGCCTTAGCAATGTCACAACTTAATCCATACATGCAACATTATACATCAAGAGAGTTGTAAATGATTGATTGTGATGACAGTGCAGCTTTTGTACCAGGAAAAAGCTTTATCAACCCTGAAACCAACTGTTTCAGGGATTATTATCACTATTTCCCAGATAGAACAAAATCTAGTAAAACTACAAAATTATGAAACAAGAAAAACCACTGTCTTACCTATTTCACTTATACTTTAACTTTACTTCGAGCTTTTCTTTGGAAAATAACACAGATCAGTAGTCTATGGTGACAGGCAGTTGATTTATTTTAAACAGTAAACAAAAGATAATTAATTACCTCAAGTTCTGATTGTTCGATGCATTGGGCTGGAACTACAAGTTCAATGGCTAAAATGCCTACATCCTCTGGTGGCCCCATACTGAAACAAAACCACAGCCATTAGTCAGTGAATCTCAAAGATTAATGGCTCAAAGACCACAAATCTACTAGGATAAATTGACAAAAGAATACCGGAATGTATCGGGATGTATCAATTTTACACTGGAAATGTATTGGAACCATTTGCCAGCAAAACCAGTTAATGCATTTGGCAATACAATGCTATAAATAAAAATAAAGCTAGCACTAAATTATGGGAATGAGCTGGTCTAGTGGTAGAGCGCTGCCTTCAGATCCCAAAGTCTTGGGTTCAAATTCTGCCAATCACCATGTGATATTGCCGCGACCTTCTAGTACTAGCCTGCAGTAATGTGTACAACAGTTCCTAGCTAGAACCTAGTGTTCTAGGATGTGAAGGGGACATTAAAAAACACTAAATTACCTTTTTTGGCTGGTATTAAGCAGTAAAGAACTAGAGAAATGTAAACCAAGTAAAAGTAGGGCGAGATCAAATATTTAGTCCAGTGAGATATGAAGTGTAGTACAGAGAGTCAGTACAATAACAACTGAATTAAATTATCTCCTAAAAATAACAGTTAGAAAGAAATATTGTGTTCTGATTTGACTCACAGATGTCAAGTGCTTTGTCACCTTGTTTCCTGTTCTCTAAATAAATTGACCAGTTAGGTACTAATGGCTTCAAACTGTATATGGGGAACTCAATGACCTAAGGATAACAGAATAACTATGTAAGGTATTATTCATTGAATGACCTCAGGTTAGGTTGATATCTCTAAAAGTATTCATTCACTTTGGATGCTGCGTTTCTAATCCTTTAATAAAATTGGAACCATGATTTAATGTGTGTGTCCGGTGAGACTAGAATGTGTTGGTGGGGGTTTAATGTTTTTTTAAATTTTGAAATAGTATTGATCTTAACGCCTGAAAGCTACTGTTAACATACTCCTGGGTCAGGAGATTTACTAACAAATGCAAATAGCATCAAAATTAAGAAAAAATATTTTCAACTAAGTATTAAAGGAGTATTATTAAATAAACCTGAAAAAGAATTATATCATACATTATTATAAAGCCTATTCAGTATTTATTTACTTTCATTTCTTAATTACTTTCATATTGTATCAAACCTTTAAAAATTATTTTGAAGTCTTTGTCTTTAATTCATACACAGTTAATTCCCACATTTTTTCAGTCGTGATAAAGCAAAAACTAACACAAACATTGAAAGATTTATCTTTAATTACTTCTAGTGTAAACTAATGGCAGGTTTTTTCCTCAGATAAGAGAATCAACACGTTAAACAAAGAACAAACTGTAAACAAAGAAATTGTTAAATACTATAATCAATTTGATTCTAACTATAAAATTATTCCGGTGAAAATACAGATTTTGGTAGATTCAAATTTCAAATGGACACTAAAAGACAGGTTTTGGGAAAAGAAGTGCTGAAGAATGCTAATTGAGATGCGCAGGTTGTGACTAGAAAGCCCACTCTGGCCAGAGAAAGTGACGAAATTCCATTTCAGAATCACAGACAACATGTTTTGAGTGACGAAATAAATCCTTGATAACCCTAGTGTTGCAAAACTTATCTTTGATTTAATCCAGCAAATAGTGGTCACATTAAAAATAACTCCATCCCTCAGAGGGAATAACTGTAATACTGTTACAAAATATTAATACTGTAATATTTTCAACAGTACTTTATTAAACTGTAAAAAACTCATAAAATTTGTTTAAACGCTGCGTGGAGTTTTTAAAATATGTTTAAAAAGTCCTCTTTCTTGTGTGAATAATAAATTTGTTATAAACCTAAGGGATTTTCTTGTTTTCTAATAGAGATGTGAAGAATTGATTTTTTCAACCAGCAATTATTGCTTTAAAAAAATTCTTAAATTTTTGACAAAATTTAACATTTTAAAATTTTGTATTAATGTAGGGTACATTATCTGCTATCTACGGAAACGCTATGTTCTCAGTAACTACTAAATGAATCGTCAAAGTTAACGTGACAAATTGGAGGGAATATGTGTAGATAGTTAAACAACAGTAGTTTTGTTTACCCGTGTAGTTTTTATGTTATGTCAGTTTGAAATATTTAAATGACGACCAGATTGAAACTAAAATATTAAAATAAAAAATAAGGAATGTACAGCTGTGGCCAAATTGACGCAGGAGGAAACTGGAAGTCCAGGAAGCTTGAATTTTACACATTAACCAGACCGAGTTGTATAGGTCTTATATAAAGATGACAGGTTTGGAGGTTCGAGGGATGGGTTTGAAGTTTTATAATAATCTAAATAATTTAAATTCACTACAAAGAGCCTTTATCAAATAAAAAATGGTTTTGTGAAAAAATAATTATAATGTTAGCTATAGTTAGTTTTTCTGTCCAGGAACGATACTTAAAAAAGGTCAGTAGAGAGTTTGGGGACACCTTGAATATTAATTCTAATATTAAGTGTATTTGTAAGAATAACATGGCAACTTTTGAAACCAGTTAGACAGAGCTTTAGGAGAGATAAAAATAAAAACAGATATATCTGTGTTATAGTATTTGGCTTAATTCCTGCAAAATTCAGCTTAATTGGTCCAGTAGTTAAAACCATGTAACGCTCTGTGGATATTTATAGGCATGCACTGTGGATGCGATGCTCCCTTTCCCTGGTGTGAATTAATGTCCGCACTAATGAGTACTAAGCCTATACGCAAATCTATCCTAATAATTCGACCAATTCGTTAATTACAACACAAGGAAAAATGTGGTTCGGATTCCACTATAAACTGTAGGTCCCTTAGTTGCCATTGTCTGTATGGGCTATTGATTATAACAGCTGGGTCTAAGGAACATGTCGGCCTTAGTCACTAACAAGACCGCGCCACTCATCCTACACTCATCTTTCACTCATATTTGGATCTACGCACATTGTGACTTCCCCATATTAAATAATTGATAATTGGTAATTGCTCCTTTCACACCATTCAATTTCGCTCATCTCATTAATAATCGGATTTGTAGTCTTATGGCCCCTATCACATTACACAATTACTAATCGTGTCCGATTGTTACTCAGGTAGCGCCTGGCTGATGCCACTGCAGGAGTCTGACTTCCAGACGAGTAAAAATCGGGTCTACAGCTTGGTGTACCGTGTGATCAAATGGCCCCTTATTGTGTTGTCACACTACCTAATTGTGAGTTGTCCAGGAGCCCTCCTGGAATGCAGTTTGTTGCAAATAGTTTTGGGATTTTTTTTTACGGTTTAAACGATTTAGTTACTGTATTCAGTAAAATGTATGTAGTAATTAAATTGTTATATAGTTATTGCATTATTAGACTCCGAAGTTTTAATTTCACTTGTTCAGTCAAATGTTGTGTTATGGGACAAAATAATATATACTAATTGATTGTTTACAATTCCTGAATTTTGTGTTCTATCGTTGAAGATTACTTTTCAGTTTGTCGTGCAGCTCATCAAATGATCCCATTGACATTGCGAAAATAATTAAAAAACTTGAGTTCTTCATTTCTAAAGTCCTGGAACATAGTATGAAACATCCCCACTTCCTTGTGTTTCGGATTAATTGGATCCCTCCAACAATTGAGTCATTTACCCAGTGGAACCAGTGTTTTTTTCTATTTTGACGCCAGTACATTAAAGTAAAAATGCAGCAATGATTTGTTTGCAAACTTTTGTTAACTATACTACACTTTCCACAGAACTGTCAATGAACTCTGTGTTGGTGGAGTGGGGGAGGGTCCGATTACTTGACTCGTCCGATTAAAAATCAGCCTAATGTGAAAACAACAGACCCGCGATCATCTGCCCGTCCGATTAACAATCTGACGAGCAAAATCCGATAGTGTGAAAGGAGCGTCTCACAAACAGAACATCCAAACATTCACATTTTGTGAAAACAGTAGTAAAAACAATAGTTTTAGTAAAACATTTTGAGAATTTTATTTTACCGTGTATGGGGTTTTAACTAGGCTAAATAATACAATGTGCAAATGTTATTTGGGTTTAACTGAGGAGCATAAAAATATAGTCTTTATCATTATTCTAATAACAAGTTAAAAGTTTAATTTTAAATATTGACAGCCAAATCTGCTATCAGCTAATAGAATAAAAAATAAATACCGTGTCCTGTTATCAACATAAAGCCCTAAGGGTGATTTATTTCAAATCCCAAAAAAGGCATAAATCTACAGAGAGCACTCATTTGATTCTGAACATGTAAAGATAGCCTTTAGCACCAAATGCACATTACAGTACCATATGGCCATATCAATGGTATACAGACTTTAATTTAGATAATTTAAAAGTCTCTTCTAACACAAACTATTATTAACTTTTAATGTAAATTTTCTTAAATTTCTTTGATAAGCTAGTAAATTGTGACAATTCACATTCTACAATTCCTTAATAACTCTTTATTAACCTGACCACAAAATTAACCAAACTTCCACATACACAGATACAATGAAATATGCTTACCTAAGCAGAAAAATCCTTCACAAACTCACAACAGAATAACAATAAAAGCCAAACAATAAGTTACTGGTAAAATTGTCCTAAACACTTTGTTTTACATTACCAAAACAGTTGTAATCTATCAAGGAGCTCAGAGGTTAACTGACTATGATTGTTGAGATCAGCTGATTGTTGGGTTATAACCAGCTGGTCAAACACATGTTCCACTCAGCTAGCCTCTCAGCTGACTGGCAAACAAAGCTGACACATCACATGCATCCATTCATGACACCAGACACTGACCTTAGATAACCTACACTACTTTTAGGACTCTTGGTCTCTTACAATACCTTTCATTCAGCACAAACACTTTGTTTACGATTTCAGTTTTACAAATTTAACAATTCAAGTAGACATATTTTAAGCGTGGAGAAATATATAGATATTTTTTACTTAAAACTTTATTACTACATATTGTATCACTACAATCAATACTTTAAAGATCCTTCTGTAGTCCTGCAGGATTTAGTCCACTGTCAAATGTACACCCGTGTGCTCCTTGATGAGGCAGGTGTGGGAGTAGTCTTAATCTCTTCGTTTGACCTTGGAGAAATACAATTTCGATGGTGGCATTCTTGAAAATGGTGCGTTTGAACGCTGTGGGTAAAAAACAAAATGGCCGCCTTTTAAATGTTTAAAGTCAAATTCCATGAAAACCAGCTATTAAAACAAAATTTTGCAACACATTACTTAAAGTCATTTTTATTACAAATAGAATGACACTTTATTTGCAAAAATCGGATAATAAATAAAAAAGTTATGTTACTTTTATTATTAATAGTAATTATCAAAATGGCAGTCATTTTAAAATCACAAAGTTAAATCCCATAGAAACTAGTGACAAAAACATAATAAAAGTTACATAACTTTTTATTTATTATCCGATTTTCGCAAATAAAGTGTCGTTCGATTTGTAATAAAAAGGACTTTACAATACTGTGTTTTAAAATTTTGTTTTAATTGCTGGTTTTCATGGAATTTGACTTTAAAAAAATTTAATGGCCGCCATTTTGAAATTCGATGAGCCTGATCAAAGATTTTTTCGGAGAATGTTTATAGTTGTAGACTTAAAGTTTATACCAAGTTTCATAAAAATATCTCCAAGAGCTTTTGAGTTATGAATTATTTTCAAAAAATACAAAATGGCGGATTACCACTAAACTAAACAGAAATCGTAAAAATGTTATACAACATTTTCGACTTATTTTTGCACATAGAATCTGAATCTGTATAGCCCGTTACGCTTTACTGAAACACGCTTTATTACTTTTTGAAATATTTTACTGTCCTGGGACATTACTGCCACCTTGCTTAATTTATTTATGAAAAATATAAAATTATGTTTTATGAAAGAATGGTGTATCCTACATAAAAACTTTAATAATCTTTTTTGTGTAGATTTGAAATAGCTACATTTTGGTATCAACAATTCTTTCGTAACTCTAACGGTTACTGATATAAGTAAGAAAAGAAGTTTGCGACGGCGGCCATTTTGTTTTTTTCCCACAGCGTTCAAACGCACCATTTTCAAGAGTGCCACCATCGAAATTGTATTTCTCCAAGGTCAAACGAAGAGATTAAGACTACTCCCACACCTGCCTCATTAAGGAGCACACGGGAGCCTGTATATGTACATTTGACAGGGGACTAATTACTGGATTCATATTTTGGTATTTTGAATAATAAATACCCTTTAGAAACTTTTTGGACCTGTGCAAAAGGACATTAAGCAGTTTTTTTTTTTTTTTTTTTTTTTTTTAAAGCTATGCTATCAAATGATTATTTTATGCATTTAAATATACTAGAGGTCATCCAGTGGTCGAAAACTCAACCAAAAATTTGTAATGCACGCTTACAGACTTCCCTATTTTCACCCCACCATGTAAATAAAACATGTGATTGGAATTTTTTCCATTTGTTTTCATTTTAGCGAATTTCCCATATAGGGAATAAGCTATTACTGTAGTACTCATGGTAAGACCTGGACGCGGGGCCGATTTTTTTTTTGTTTCGAGGTCCCTAGAGGCCAAAAACACCATCCGTTCAAATTCGTATATATTTATATTTATATATATATATATATATATGTGTGTGTGTCCGTTAGCACGATAACTCGAGCAAAAATGATCCGATTTTGATGAAATTTGGTACAAACGTGTAAACCTACGTTTATTCAAACGAGTTCGCGATCCAGCATGATCGGACCATGGGAACGGGGGTTTACAGGGGGTTTTATGGGGTAAAAATAGGTTTTTCACATTTTTGACCCAAAAAACATAAAATTTAGCAATTTCTTTCCAAACCATTTTGTAGAGCTTAAAAAAAACAAATAATTTAGTATATTCAAGCGTTATTATGCGCCTAATGGTTACGGAGAAAATTCCAAAAAATTGTAAATTTAAAATTCCCATGTTATTCTTATGGAGAATAAGTAATTAAACTGTTGTAGTTTGCTTGTTTATGAACATATTTTGATCAAATTTGGAAAATGTTTTTATTTCTTACTAACTATTAACATTTTACATAAAAAAAAACACTTTTACCCTACCTGTTGCAGCAAACCTAAGTATGTGTTAAACTGATTCTATTTAAATAGGGAATAAATGTGATATTTTTAAGAAGACATTTTAGTGTAAATCCAATCAGGCAAATGGAAATTCGCTTAGTCTGCAGGTTTGCTGCGGCGGGGGTATTCTGTTTATATTTCGTCACCAGCATGGCAAACCATATACAATATTGTATACAAATTACATTGAAAATTAACTATTTGAATATTATAAATTCACTCAGATCAAAAATTCAATTAACATAATAATTATTCACGTTTTTGATGCAGGAGTTTTGTTTAAATGTATTTTGAAAAGTAGCAAACAACAAGGATATACTTAGTTACTGTAGTTAAAAAACATTGCACAACGGATATCCATTAGTCATTCTTACTCACACTTGGATTTTTAATCATATGCTAATGATGATTACATTCTTTAACAGTAAACCAGATATCTTATCAAAAATGACTAATAAAGTGAGAATGTTTTGCAGTGTGCAAGTTTATTCTTAAAATATTTTGGCTTGTAACACCATTATTATTACAATCAAATTAAAAGTTTTGAAAGAAATTGTGGTATGACTCACCACAAATAATGCTAAAGTATTTTTTAATGTTTTCAACAGTCATAAGCTATCAAGAACTTATTTTAGAAAATCAGTAGCCTTATTTTAGACAATGTAGCCTACATTTTTGATTTTCTTCACTAAACTTTAAATGCAATGGGTTCACAAATACCGAAGATTTACTTTTACAATTGATAAAAATTAGTTTAATTGTCAGTATATTTAAGTTTGATTTGACAATTAAGACACAAAACCACAGAAAACATACTACTATTCTCATTTAATACATATATACTATTGACAACCACACACGGTTTACCTTACTTTTCATTTCAATAACTGTTGAACATCTCCGACACTATTGTCTTTAAGGCGGTTTCACACTGGCATCCGCGGACGATTTCTTCGTCCGCGGACGGATGCAAAAATAAATCGCTGCCCATGTTATCAGATGGGACCGTTCACACCGCCCATTGAAACGTAGCGTCCATCCGCGGATGCAGAAATTCGTCCGTGGACGTTTTGGTGGAATCGCTCCCAGAGCGATTTTTCTAAAACGTCCGCGGACGATCACGCCCTCGCGCATGCGCAGACAGAGCAGTAGCTCTCAGCGAGGCATGTGTCACTCGCATCACAGTGTTTAGTAGTTTGTGTTTACAGTCATAGTGTTCATCTAGTTGTTGTTTTGTGTCCTCCCTTGTTGTTTGTTATGGCTGAATTAATTGAGGCTGTCCGTGCCTACCCAGTTATCTGGGATACAACTATAGAAATTTATAGGGATCAACAAGATAAAGATAAAGCGTGGTTAGAAATTGCGACTACACTCCAAAGAGATAGTTATTATCCTAACCGATAACCATGTATATTTATACGAATTACTGTACAGTAAATCATTACTACAATGATTTGTAGGTTATTAGTATCCTATATTACGTTACTAGTCCTGAAAGTAAGTGTTTACCGGACAAGTGTGGATTACCAGACGAGTCCTTTAAACACATTTTGCACGAGTTACGTACGATAGTTTACGCCATACTACTAAATCTGTCCAAATCCTTATATATTACCACTAATAAAAGACTAAAAATCACTAGGCTAGTCATAACCTCTAGGAGAGGTTATGTTTTTGTTTATAACCACTCATTGCCAACCAAATACAGTATAATCAGCTGATTGGTGTTTGGTAAAACTCATTACAGTGCAGTAGTACGTAATAAACCCCCATTTGATTAAGCAGGCGGCCAACAGCTGTTTTCTGGACTCTTTGCGTGGGAAGTTCGTCAAAATAGTGTAGTGTGGTGTAATAATTATTGAAGGTAATGATAATATAATGATTAACTGTAGTTAAATTCAGTGAAACAAATTAATAATGTTAAAAAAAATTCTTTGAATATTGATGTTTTTTAAGTAGTTAACTTCAAATCTATATAGAAGCAAAATTTCAAAATAGGCTTCTAAACCAGAAGCTTCTAACCAGATATCCATCCCCTACAGCCGCAGGGGATGGATATTTTATGACACTTTGTATAAAATCTTAGAAATAAGAATAAGTCCATTTCAACATTTTGTGTGGAAAATAATGGTGTGTTATTATTGATTATACTACAATATTTATTTGCAATATAGTACTACCTTTTTGGTTACTAATTTTTTGGTTACTTATTTTTGGAGCACTAAAATAAGCACAGAAATATTCTCGGATGTCACTTGCTTCTCCACTAGCTCCGAGCTTGTTAATCGGATGAACCCACTTTCCCCTTTTTGATAATGAATACAAAAGTACAACCTCGTCGTCACTATCATCACTACTTGAATCAAGCCACGGAACAGAAAATCCGGGTTGACACCATGGGACAGAAGGCTCAGACATTTTGCACACCTCCACTGAGTTGTAAGAGGAAGTGTGTTTAATCTATGATTTTAGTAGGAATGGCCACTTCCCTATGCGCATGCGCGAATGAGTGGACGTTTGAAACGTAGCTCGCAATGTGAAGGGGGCGCGTAGCATCCATCCGAATAATTTCATCTGTCCGCGGACGAAATTA